CCTCCAAATCACAAGACATCGTATAGGTCAGCCATTCCCAAAACGATTTCAAATACTCAAATTTCCACCCTCATCAATTTAAAATCATTCTTCAACTAAACAAACATTGATCATTTATGTTATATCTATCTGGAATGAATTGTAATAAACATATCTTTCAATTTCTACGTGAACTTGATTATAACCTACAACAATATCGGCCATTTTTCCTAAAATCCTCTTACAAGAGTATACTCTTCAGGAAAGAATTATGTTGATTTAGAACGAAGACAGAAATTTCTCAAAATTCCTTCAAGAGCGAAAAATAGTTGCATAATGCTCAGGCCCATTGTTTGAACACGATTCTTTTTCGTTGGCGTTTCGAAGCGATTCAAAGCTCGGCTCGGTTACACGCGCAAAAGGGGGCAAATAAAGGAACAAGGCCCAATGTTACTTTCATTCGTTGGTCTGAGCCGCGCTCGTGGGCAACTCTTATTTCACAATCGAACTATAAGATCGTGATCTCGCGCGGCTCTCATTCGACTTTCCATTTCGTTCGATACACCGCGCAACATAATACATTACCCTGCCGCTTGTTCGCCGCTTTTAAGGCGCTGATTATGCATGCGTCCGGATATTTATGTGCCGCGCGAACTTCGCCCGATTTTTATTTTCGCCCCGACGTTAATCACACCCGGCTGAGGACGACCAAACGAAAAGATTTATGGGATTTCACGGCGCGCAGCAGCGGTGAGTAGCCGATCCACTCTTTCATCTTCCCTCCAACGTTCCTCGAAATCGCCTGAATTCTTTCACGATGCCATCAATCTCGCGACTTTATATAAACATCCCGATGAAGTTGGCGTAATCGCTCAGAACGGAAAAATTTTTATCCTACCTGTGAAAAATTTCGACAGATAAAACCTAATTTTTAAAATACCCTAAACGTATCTGAAGATAACAATCATCGTAGAAGGAAAATATTCAGGATAGCTAGAAATTTTATATTCTTTTGAATAATAATTGAGATAATATAAATTATAATTTAAGGAAGGTCAAATAGAAAATATTATTTAATTAGAATATTAGAATATATGTGTATTATTGGAATATTTAGTAATTAACTTTTATATCTGTAAATGTTTGATATAAAAATTGCTATAATTTTTTATTAATATTAATATTAATCTACTAAGAGTATTAGGCGAATATTTATATATCTGGGATCATAGATCTATAGACCCCTTTTTGAGAAACGACATGACTAATACCCTCGTCATATTTACTACTACACTATTAAAAAATTTCTTTTATATTTCCATAGCTAGGAATTTTAATTCCACGCGATATATAATTTTCAAAAATGAAAAAAGGGGCGCAGAAAATAAAGAAGGCCGAACTATAAGTTGAATAATCGATTATATTTGGTAAAACATTTACAAGGTAATAAGATTTTTTTTGTTCATTTAACGTTACATTTACAGGCAAGGCATCATCAAAGACCGTACCAACTCTACAATAATCGTAATAATTGTATAATGTTTACTTATAAGAAAAGTATGTACCATCAAATTATCTTTATCGTTACTATCGATATTAATGTTACGGTAGTGCTACTCTTATTAATTCTTTCTCAGGAACAAATACATATTCTTTTTTTTTTCATCTCATATATTTATATATTTATATATATACCTTTATTTTTTTTTTTCTTTTTGCTTTAACCTTTAATCAATATACATCAATTCGCGATTACATTGAACGGTGTTAGAACTGCACCCCGTGTAGGCAAACAAGATTATCCTGGAACACATTCCTCGATGTGTGCCTCCACGCGCTCGTGGACGATCGAACGAACAAAGAAAATATACAGCGTTATGTATATATGTAGAATATATACGTGTATGCGTCACGAGAAATGAAAGGAAAAAGGGGAGAGGAAAAGAAATGGGGGGAAAAAATAAAAACGAAAATTGAGAACGTAAGTGTGTCCCGCGTGTTTCTTTCTTCGAAGGTTCTCACCACCTTCGTCCTCGTCTTTCCGTTTTCCCTTTCGATCAGCCGTATCGTTCACTCGATGCTCTTTTCCCTACGGGAACGATTCGTTTCACCGGAATCCTCGGTCGCCATTTCTCTCGATGAGGCCTCCACTCATCTCGGTTTCACTTTCGACCATTCCAGCGGAACTACCATGGGCTCAGTCAGTCGTGAGACGAATCGAATCGAACTGGTCACATCGTATTTGCCCATTTACTTCGTTCAATCCGCTTTAATCCCATCTAGCCAACTACGATCTAGCCTAAGACGAATTTTCGTTACGAATACGTATTAACAATACGTTCTTTGAAATTTTCCACCAAATCAATTTTCAAATTGCATTTATTCGCGCGAGGCAACTTAGTAATATTTCAGTTTCGATATATTGCACCCAAAAGTAGATTATAATTAACCCTTATCGGTCACTAGCTTTTTATACGTGATTCTCACTAGATTGTAGCTGATTTCGGTAAATATGCGAAAGATTTCCATCTTGTCACCTCCCACGTGACGCACGATCGCAGCGACAAAGTCCTGTAATCACGTGAGAGGTGACTTACGACCGATAAGGGTTAAGCTTCAACTGTAGAACTATCGAGTTACAAGACTCCGAAGTAACAATGTACAATTACATTTCGATATAAACAAAAATCGGAAGCAGTTATGCGATTTGAGAAATTACAAACTTCTGGTAGTCCAATAAATATTAATACAAGCCAGGGATTAAAATTTAGGTTAAAATACTTTGTTGCAACCGGTAGCCTCCAGTTAGCCTGATTACTTAGACTACCAGTCTAACTAGCGACCCTAACCGAATCCTCTTTAAAAAGCAGTTTAACTCTAATCCAGGACCAAAATGGATCTCCAATAATAAAATAACGCAAGGATAATTTAATTTCCAAATAGCTATGTCATTTCGACGTCCATTTCTTCAGTTCCATCCGCTAGTCGCGCGACTGACTGACGGAGGCCATGATGCAAAGGCAATCGTATCAGCACGTTGAAACAGATGTTCGAGTCACGGATGACACGATTGTAAGGTGTACAAGCATCCTGAACGATACGAGCTTAACGATTATTATATTTTAGCGAAGATGAGAGACGTTCGAACGAAAGGAGGCGTTCCACGGTGCCGCGAAGCGAAGTCTACTTGATGCGCGCAGAGGAAAGACAGACAGACAGACAGACAGACAGACAGACAGACAGAGAAAAAGAGTAGCATGTGTGTGTGTGTGTCGTAGAGAACTATTGCACTATATTGATTCACGATAATCGCTCGATTAACTAGGCAGCGGCAGCGCTTCGTGGAGTTTCCGCTAACGAGACGTTCGATGGCGGCCTCCAATGGCTTCGAGTCACTTCGAACGTGCGACGAAAGCTTCGAACCGTTTCGAACATTGCTGAGACACGAGCGGAAAAATATTTGGAAACGTTCGGAGAATGCTACTCGTTTCGACAGGCGAGTTCTTAGCACCAGGTTCTTAATCACGACGAATTTGTTTCGGAGAAATTTCGATGTCTGGCGGAGTTGGTCGTTGGCAAGGCGAAAGAAACATGGCGCGGTTTTAGTAATTAATTCAGAAGCTTCTGGAAAGACACGCATCGTTTTTAGACCGGTATACGATGTTAGTAAAGGAATGTAATAATTCTCTTTTCCATTTGTGGAACGTAGTGGTGAAAAAGAAATGGAAATTTCGATTCATGTATTATGGATGAGCGTGGTTTATGAACACATCTGGCGTCAAAGCGAACTTTTTACCAGCATCGTTCCGTCATCCCTGTTATTAATATTTGCAATGTCCTTTCCCGCAGAGATACGTGGAATATTTTCTATCCCAGGCTCAGTCCGCTCGACGCCCACTTAAATAACAATTTCGCATAAAACGGAAAATTAAACGCGATACATCGTATCTTACAAATCTTCGAGTTGTCGGCCATGTTGTTTTCCCGAATACAGAAATAATATTGCACTGCGAGACCGAGCGAAACCTAAACAAACTATATACACATCAAGCAACAAGCTTGTTGCGGCGAAACGCAAATAAGAAAAACAAATCATAAGACAATAAGTTATTTAACACCGAATTCGTTTATTACATATACTCGTAACAATGAGAGGATTGAAAATTTACAAACGCTTCGAAACCCTCGTCCCAATTTCCAAAACTTTCCATCCACGATTCCTCTTCCGAATTCTCCAAACTCACGACAGGGGACCTCATGCTCTAAATCGACGCCGAAGTTCCCCTCGACCATCGTCGGGCTCTCCAAATTTCCCTTCCAAATATTCTCCGGCAAAAACCTTCTCACTTTTCAGCAACGTTCGAATGTGTCTGGGCGATCGAATTGCTTGAGCGACCAGCGATCGCCGAGCGACGGGACACGCTTTCAAAAACGAAACGAGTACTTTCGTTGGTCGAGAGACGAGAGCGATCGAATGTGCGATCGAACTCGACGAGAACGGTCGCGTCGAGACGGAGAAAGGGTGGGGGAGAGGGGGAAAAAAAAGAGAAGAAATGGGGTAAGTCACTGACATCGTGCATGGGGAGGGTGGTTGGTCGGTCGAAGAGTCGCGTAATGTTCGTTGAACAGTGGGAGATCGGTTCGTCAACCACTTTCTTCCTCCTAATCGTTCTCCCAACCCCAGTCGATGGAATGTTTTCTCTGTGTTCTCTCAGGCTCGAGGTGATGGCGGCCACGGCCATTGATCATCCGCGTAAAAGTATATTTTACAGTGGTACATATACATTTATAATATATGCATTCGCATAATAATAATAATAATATTAATAATAATAATTAATAATTAATAATAATATATTCTCTCTTCGTATCTCGTTAAAAGCAACTCGTGCGTCCGCGGTTTCCTTTCGTTTCTCGTTCTTCACGATTTTCGTCGTTCTTGTCGCGAATGCGAACGACGAGCATAAACTATGTACAAAAAAAGAAGGAAAAGAATGATACCTCCGAAAACTTCACCGGGCAGCCACCCTCGTCGATGTTCGATTCGTCGTTCCCGAGGGGGGCGGCACGGCGAAGATCGTGATTATGATAATAACGCGAAACGTAATGCAAGGTAATGGTCGACAGCGATAGCAACGTAATATCGGTAGGATCGATGAGAACGATCTCTGGCGGCGGAAGATATCGGTTGGTGGCGCGACTGTGTTCCATCACGTCCTCGCATCGAACGCGCTCGGAACGACTCGTTGGCCCAACGAAAACAACGGTCTCGTAACGTTGTAAAGATTGTGGACGAGAGAAACCAAAGTAAGATAGAGAAAGAGGATGAAATAAACGCGTGTCTATATAGCGCTACGTGTATTATCGTATAATAATAATAATAATATTAATAATAATAATAATCAGTGTTCTTTGGTAACACAGTGATGCGTCCGGAGACCACGAATACGATTTCAACGTATTGTCCGATCGTGACAAGATGGTCCCGATAAATGTGCGCAGCCTTGGCAGAGGATCGTCATTTTTAGTATCTCCTTTCTTTTTCCGATAAAGCGCATTAAAATTGAACACCTCTCTTTCCCATTCGGCCCTGTTTATGAGGGGAACGATTCGGAGATTTGATAATTCATTTCATACGAAGATTCTTATAGGAAAATTTTTATAAAATCTCACTTAGAACATCGTCAAATTTTGTACAATGCTACATATCGATTAATCTTTTTAGTGGTTTCGACTTAAAATTCCTAATTCAAACGAACCACAGATACATAAATGTCGTGCTCCTTTGAAAACAATGTTTTCACAATTAGAGACCAGTTAACTACGTATACGATCGTATAAACATAACCTCACTCTTTTACAGCAAGTTAGTTTTGAAGCAAAAATAATTCCTAGAGGACGTCTGTCGTAGTCTCGGCAAATCGGAAACAATCTCCAACTCCTTCCCCCAAAAACAAAGCCTCGAACAAGCCTCCTTGTCCAAGTCCAGTTCTCCGACTCGCAAAAGAAAAAAGGAAAAAAGAAAAATTCCCTAGAATCCCCAAGCCAATCTGCACAATTCAAGTACTATGCTCTCAGCCAGTTCACTACTCGTGTGTACGACTGATCTTTTCGATCTACTGATCGCTTTCTCGCATAACAAAGGGACTCCATCTTGTCCCGCGACCTATGTAGTACACACGTTTACTCGCGCGAACGTATGCGCACGCATGTCTCTATGTACACGTGATGACTGCAGTAGCGTCCTTCGTCGTCCCGTTTTCAGGCAACTCGCGTCTCCCCGACTGCTCGTCTTTTATCCGGTATTTACGGAGGCGTGATCCTGCCCCCCATACGTTGCAGCCGTATATACAGAACAATCGGTACGACTTACTCGGTCGGGCAAACGACAATGGCGACGTTCGACGGAACCACGAGAGACGTTCGAAGCGGCAGAACTTTTGATCGAGAGATGAAAAAAAGGCGGCGACTCCGAATGTGCAAGCGGTCGTTGCGATCGGGGGATTCGTTCGCGTGGCTAGCAGAAATTACTATAATAAGAAGATACAGCAGTACTTTCGAGCAACGATCGACCAATTCTCCCGCCGGGCCGCTCTTCGTCAAAGCCTCTCGCACGCACTCTCGCATGCACGCAACACGCACCCCGTCTCGTATTCACTTAAGCTTAAGCTTATCGATAGTTAAGTAAATATCTGTAAATTCCTCTCTATGTACACCCTGTTTGAATAGTTCCCTTAAACCTAGCCCTAAGAACACCCTAGCGGCTCCCCTTACCGGGAAGCCGTGTTCTTCGACGAATAAAATCCATTCCCGCCTCGCGATACGAAACCAGAGGGACGCTGGTCCTCGTTGTTCTTGCGAGGAGAGTTCCGCAAACTGGCGAAGAAGCCAGAGAGTGGCTGTGTGGTGCTCGCGCGGTAGGAAAGCTCAGCTTCTCGCGTCCTTCGGGGTAAGTTTCGTCGGGCTGCAGTGCATTCGCTGCTTCCTTGGGCGATCTGGTCTCGGGAATCGCGCTTCCCGATAGAGGATAACGGAAACTCGTTACCAACGGTCGGTAATTTCCACGTTCAGCATGGTAAACCAGCTTCGTTCATCTGCCGGCGTTCAAGTCCCCGGTGTCAAGGATCAGGTTAGCCATTGCGTTCGCGGTTGCGTTCTGTTCCTTGGCGAGGAGGACTTATGACCCGAGCTGCTGGCCACTGGCTACGTAAACGTAACTCTATGGTTGCTGAAGCAACAATTGCTCGAGTTCGTCGGCGGACCTCAAGAGAAACGCCGCGGATTCTCGATAGCCGGTGATCAATTGCCTGACGGCTGTCATCTCCGTCGCGTTTAACTTGTGGCTCAGAAGCGGCTTGGTGTTCTTCATGCTCAGATCCGTGGGTCCTGGAAATGTGATTATGGTTGAAGATGGTCTGATGATTTATTGCATGATTTATAGGCTTTAAGCGAATTTTCAAGCACATTTTCAGGTTATTATTGGGTACACGACACGTGGAATATGAAAAGTGTAGGATGATAAACGATTTGGAATAGTATAAGGGAAAACAAATTCTGGAGATGAAATGTGATTTATATGAAAGATGAAATTTGTTAGACATCGATAAGGTTGAATGATACAATCACGTGTAGAATAGGAGCAACAGATTTCGTGGATTAAACAAAAATTATTCACGATTTTTGCAAAGCACGCGTAAATAATGCACAATCTTAAATTAATTTCATATTTAAAATGTTAATAAAGCAAGCCAACAAACTATAAAAACAATTAATAATCCTTCAATTCATAATCATTTCTAAACGGTTCAAGTAATTTCGAAGATTAAAATTAATTTAAATCCGGTCACGTGCTGCGGAGTGTCGAACACCAGATTGGCTATAATTATTTATTATTAACATAACTGAGACTACTGATTATAGTATTTGAATGGCACCACAGCCTACTTGATAAGTTCCTTTAATTTAAATTGAGAAATGCAATTCTTTTATGCAATCATAATTAAATAACTAGATTAAGGAAGAGAAGTTCCATCAACTTATCAAGACATCGCGATTCGAAAGAAATAGTACCAAAGCATTCAATTTTTAAGCTCCCAATACACGAATCACAAGAGGAAAATATTCACAAAGTGCAAAAAGACAATCCACCGACGAACACATCGCGTATATAACCGATTATAAACATTTCGATCACTTCTGATCGTGATATCAAAACAATTCCGATGATCGACTTCGTACTCCATCGAACGTTTCCTGCGCATCGGCTTCGCGCAGCACGTGACCGCGCGGCTGCGCCGTGAGTGGGGGAAGTGGCGTCCGCCGCGGATCTCCGCGCTTACTTGAACCCCGCGCACGCGGCCGTGCAGCGGAACGAAAATAAAATCGAACTGGCGCAGCAGAAGCAAACTCATAAGAACACCGATAAGCATTATTACTTTGTGTACCGTTGCTCAATAGACCCGACGTGAAGCTCTGCGTGGGGTAAAGGCCCGCTGACAGGGTTGGCGGCACTGTGGTCGGCCCGGCGCGCTGGAACGCCTGGCTGAAGTTCGGTCTGTACATCGCCGTCGGTGCACCGCCGCTGGCAACACCGTTAACCGTCGACGAGCTGACTATCGTCGCCTGGCTGAAAAACGCGAGCGAGATTCGTGTTAGCGATAGGCCGTGTAGCATTGATTAGCTCCGCTCGATTCCGCCTCCGGCCACTCTTTAGTTTCGTTCCGCGATCTTTGACCGTCTACGAAACGCTTTATCTGCGGCTCCTTCCTTCGCAGCGGTTCACCCGGCTCGCTGTGAATGAGAGATCGCGGAGTGAGAATGGGCGGCCGGCGGACCGATTACGACAGGAGAACGTGGCTTTTTCATCGCGATCGAACCGTCTACTTCTCGCGCTTGCTCGTGTAACTTCTATTGTTTAGAATTGAATCCCGATGAACATTTTTTTATGAATCATGCCTTCGATTCTTCTCTATTCCCTAATTTTGTTTATGAATTTTATTATCGTTAATTAATTTCTGTATGTGTCGAATAATTAATTGATCTTGAGGAAACGACTTTCTGAAGGAATTGGAAATATCTTATAATTAGGGAAATAATTATAAAATTGTGGATCTAAAATTATTCGACAGTAACCTGTTTTATTTAAATTAAATTCTTTTTTTATTAACTAATTGCATAATTATAATAGAAATATCTTTGTCATTTGGATTTTTAAGATGTTAGTATTACTTCAAATCTTTGGAAAATAGTAGAAATGATATTTTAAGCTCACAATTGATATATAGACACATAGTTAAAAAGAGTTGTGCCTGGAATTATTAAATTTTGAACATTTTTATTTAATTGCAAAATTTAAAGAATAAATTATTGAATTAATATGAAATTAGATAGTTCAAGATATTATACAAAGTTGAGTCTCGTGAATATTTTTCCATCAACTGTGTTTTACACACATATGTATATATATCTATCTATTGAAATGATTTTAAGGTTATCATCATGTTAAATCTTCTAAAGGTATGAAAAATAATACTTTAGGTTTATAATGGATGTACGAAAATGATTAATAAATAGTTATACTTGGTCTGTCTACATGTCAAACTTGTCTGTTTAATTATAAAATTAAAAATATAAATTATCCTATTAATATTAATTTAAATAATTTAATACATTATAAAAATGGCTTTAAATTTTTATCGATGTTAATAAACTGGAAATATAAATGAACAACTTGTTCGACAGATATAAATAATTTTTCTAATTCGATATAAAAATCGAAAGTGAGAAATAAGAAATGGAATTTTATATAATGCTTTAAATCGAGTTAAGACGATTCCCCTATATTTGTTGCAGGGGAAATAGCTGCTTGTGATTGCACGGATCCTTCTACTTAAAATCAAATTTCGCCCCTGATCTAAATCTAGTATCACCTCGTCTAGACGCTATTTTCATTTCTAAAGAATTCAACGTCACAGTTTTACTTCAGACGTAACTCTGCAAACTTAATTTAACTGTTATCTATCTTTGTAACAAATTAATTGGCATGAAGTTGAATAACAGACCGAGTAATATGATTAAGTTATTTAAAGTTCATCGGTCATTTCATTTTTCAACGCATTTAACTTTCATTCAATAAAAGCGTAATTTATTAAATTCTAGCCGAAAGATTATAGAAATGAGTAATATGGATTTGATTAATACGGTTGGAAATATCCAACTCCGAAAGCTCTTTTTTTTAAAAGAAAAACGAACTGCAATTTGTTATAAAATTTTTCATTTCATTATTATTACCATTGTCATTATTATTAAGTTTAAGTCAATTATTATTAAGTTTCGAGCACTGTTAACTGCATTCACGATGTTCGGTGAAGCGTCAGTTGATAATCGAGAAAGTTAAGTCGACTTTGAAGAGATATTTATATTTTTATACGAATATAACTAATATTAGGTCCAAACGTCATCGTTGTCACGATTCATTTAATCGAGAGATACTACTTATTTATCGACGAAAAACAAACGGACAACTTAATTCTCCAAATCCAAAACATCGTTTGGCGAAGATTTAGCGTGATTGATAAAAAAAAAAGAAGTAACTTTGCAGGTTTGTAATCTCGAAAAATGAAAATAAGTTCTCGTCGTGTATCTCTTGCTTGTTTGAAATTTTTGACACATTAATCTTCCCGTATCGCCGTGTCAGAAATTTTAGGACAATAAATAACGACAAGCTATAAATTTAAGTCGTAATACGAATATTAAATTAGAAGCTCTCTTCTATCTGTATTTTAAAAATAATATTAATATCTACTTATTAGTCAACAATCTAATAAATCACGATCTTTTTCAGCAACACCACGATTACGAATTCAATTATAATTACTAACAAATTGATAACGTTACTGGCAATCTCAAATTTTTAGACTCATCGTTTAATAACCGGACGAATCGAGAATTAATCAGTGAAATAAAATTAAGTAAGATAAGTAACGAAAAATAATTACAAATCATTGTCGCTTAAACGAAACGAAGACCTATTTATTAATCTATTATCTTAAATATTAGATCTTAATAACGTTTTATGGCGGATAAAAATTAAATTGAATAATTGGTTTTAAATAAAATACAACGTACTCGGATACTTTCATATTGATTTAAGAAAATTCTTTGCTAGGTATAATAAGCTTTACTCAAATTTGGAATTTGTTCAATGAAATTATTTTTCCAAACTTAAATCATTTCTCCAAGCCTATAATTTTACCAACTACATAATTTTTCTAAATCTAAATGATTTTTCTGAACCTAAATAATTATTCTAATCCTGTAATTCTTCCAAGTAAACTATTTTCTCAAACTTAAATGATTTTTTGCAAAGCTAAATAATTTTTCCAAATCTAAATCATTTCTCCAAGCCTATAATTTTACCAACTAAATAATTTTTCTAAATCTAAATGACTTTTCTAAACCTAAATAATTTTTCTAATCCTATAATTCTTCCAAGTAAATTATTCTCCCAAACTCAAATGGTTTTTTGCAAACCTAAATAATTTTTCCAAACTAAATCATTTCTCCAAACCTACAACTTCAGTAATTAAATTATTTTTCCAAATTGAAATAATTTTCCAAGACCTAAATAATATTTCCTAAATAAATAAATATTTCCACCAATGTAAATTTCGTTTCTTTCTAAAAATTTGAAAGAGCAATTTCTCTAGGTAGACTTTGTTACCGAACAATCATATTTTCGAATTACTGTTATTTCAAGCTATACTGACCTCATGAGACCCTTGTTGTCCGCCGGCGTGAGCAGTTTCGACGCGGGTGCAAGAGACAGGGGTGTAGAAGAGAGGGTGCTGCTGGGCAAGTTGGCCAAACTGGTTAGCGGCGCCAGGGACGTTAGCGATGCCGGCGGTGTGTCCTCCCTTTTGCCCGGAAGTGATTTCACCGGCGTACTGGAGAAATGCTCCAAACTTGACCGGACATCCGTTTGCTGCAACAGGCACTCGATCTTAGCTACCCTTCGAGTGGAATTACCGACGGAAAATCGTTTAGCCTTCATACTTGACAGTTAAGTTACAGCAAAACGAGCTTCCAACTTCCAAATTCCAAAATTTCACGATTAATTTACTGTTGGAAGCCCTTTTTGGAATTCCTAATTGATGGCTGAAGGATCGCTATATCCTCAACTTCCCCTTATTGCTACGCAGAATGCGTAGCATAAGTTCTCGTTAAACCGATATCACATCAAAATACCGAATAACCTTATACTAAGTGACAGATACCAATCCATACTATCTTTCCAATCATTTATTCAAAAATTAAGGTATCGTACAAATACCAACTTTCATTAAATATATCACAACATTTCGACTATCCTCGCATGATTTAAACGTGTCTTGCGACGAGTATATCCAAATGTATACTTCTTGACAGAGCAGGTAGGTAGGTCCTGCAGTGATCATTTTAAAATAATCGATATTCGCGTCAATGGATATTTGTATCCACAAATAGTAATTCGAGCAATTATCAATATAATTAACACTAGATTTACGAAACCCGTCAATTTGACGGATGGGTTAGGTTAGATTAGATTAGGTTAGGTTAGGTATCCACGTATCCAATTATACGATAGTAACAGATTTAGTTAACTTATATTAAGACTGTTAATATTGTAACTGTTTTTAAATTAACCTAATCGTTAAAAAAAAGACACGTGGTTTCCTTTACTTATCAATTTGACAGGTGTTAAATATATAGAAATAGGTATACAGACAGAGTCCGTAAACCTAGTGTTAACGATACGACTCCTGGTTTGCTGATTTTAAGTGTAGAAAAGAACCAAATTTGAACGGAATTTGGGTCCTTGGCATAAACAAACGCACGATTCACCACGCAGGCGAAAGGAACCTAAAAAAGCCTAAATTTCCAGTTCTCAGTCTCTCGACTCGCCCGTAAATCGATAGCAATGGTGTCTACTGGGGTCTCAGACGGGGCACGACTTTTGGATCGCTCGGTAAATGGACCATAATCGTTACATTTTGTTGCCTCCGCTGATTGGCTCGATCCCTCCCCCGTTGGCCGCCCCTCTGCCCCCGTCGACGAGCAACCATTATCTCACGCTCCAGATTTTTAAGCATTCTGACCCAGTTTCCGCCAGTGGCGATCGAGAATCGGTTCGGCGCGGAGGAGCACGCGAAGATCGACCAGACGTCGCTTTCGAGAATAAAACTAGGAAGCACGTGCTCGAGAGCCGCCCGTGTACCTGCTGGATCTGCACGCGATCGTACACCTGCTTGTGCACCACCCTTAGGTTCTTTTTCCTCATGTTTGACCCTCGTTCCAGTCTCCTTCCTTTGTCATCACCGTTCCATGTCAATCCACTCTGACCAACTGGCCAGTACCTCTATGAACCTCAATGAACACGCACTGACACCTCGATCAACTGGTCAACATCTCCGGCAGTCTGTGTCTATCATGCATCACGATGAACGCGCACTGGTAACTTGCCCAGAGCGATGAACGTCACAAGATGTCACACAGAACGAGTCACCGACACCATACTAGGCTGCAGTTGCTCGCGAACTCGTGGTACACCGTGTCACCGAAGCACACCACCCACGTGTCACTATTTACTGAACGAAACGGGGCACGGATGGTCCCCGTTGATGAAAGAACGATCCACGGAACCAGTTCGTGGCTCGACCAAGTCTCTCCGAGTCTCAGCAGCTGGCCTGGCCTGGCCTGGGTCACCTGGGACGGGGACTGCTGAGGACGCGACGCGGCGAAAAAGAGGCTGGGCAAAAAGGGCAGAGAGGGACGAGAGAGCAGAGAGTATCGAGATGGAGAGACGGCCAGATGTGGCGGACAGGGACGTCGAGGCGTGAGTAAGCTCTCTCTCGCGGCCAAGGAAATTAATTCGAGGAAAGAGAGTCGGGCTAGTGGCGAAAGAAAGGGGAGGAACGGAACCGAGGGAAGGAAAGAAAGAGCGGCGTAGGCTCAGAGGGACGCGCACCGCGGGAGGGGCAAGGGAGAAGAACGCGAGCACACAGGCGTGCACGGAGGAATGAAATCGTCAAGAGAGAGGAGAACGGATGTAGGGAGGTGTTTTTATGAAAGGCGAGCAGTGTGCGTTGACGTCAATTATATAGGTGGCCACGGCAGATAGCTGCGTCCATACACGAACCCCGGTCTTCTCCTTAATGGGTTAGGTTTAGGTCGCCGGAGAGGTTATCGGTCTCTCCGAGTTCCCTCTCTGTCCCTCGCCGAGCCGCCACGCTATCATGCTCCTCCTCGCTAGGGATTTTCAAAGTAGATAAGTCTCGAGACGAGAGAGACTCCGATGGTTCTAGGCTTCTTGCCTATGAGACGAGAGGTCGGGAGTAGGTGTGTAATATTCACGAGGGCAGAGGGAGGATTAGGCGCGCCAGCGACACGCCGCTCACGCCCACGCGTTAGACATGCGACACGGAACACACGATTCCGCGTTTGTTTCAGGGTGAACGAACCGTGACAGGGTAGCCAAGGATACGAGTTGCAAAATGAGTCAGAGCACGGGCTCGGAACTTGCGAAATTTCGCACTCCGTTCGGAGACCCGTCGGCTAATGGGCCAGCGCCGCGTAGATGGCGCTAGCTGCGCGCCGCCATCATCTAACGGCCGACGGTCTCCGCGGAGAGCATCAGTCATAAAGTTATACGATGAGGGAACGAGGCAATTCGTTGAAATGCTGGAACACGGCGGTTGGATGAACGTGAACGTGCGATTTTCTTGATCAGAAGGCGGAGCGTGTCAGCCGTGGCCCTTTTTAAACGATGTCACGGACGCGTGATGATGACTAACGCAAAAAAACGTTCTGGCTGATGGTAATTCGGACTCGTTATCACCACCTTTGACACGTCCAAGTGTATCGTTCGATGTTTATCTCAGACAATATGGCAACGAGTAGGGTGAGTGCTCGACGGAAAACCAAACCTGACGCTCAATCCTCTATTACGCAAACGGTTTATCATAATGAAATTCATGCAGCGTTCGAGTAATGCAACTAATTTTTTCAAGTACAACTCGCCAAACGTATAATTATTATTCCCAATAATTAGGAATAACCGTGTAATTATGAGCAGTGATTAATTCGACCTAATCGTGTAATTATTAAAGCAAGAAAATGTCATCTATTGAACTCTTTATATACTATTTGTCTCAACCGAGAAAGTTAGAAATATTACAAAGACGAGGAAATATTCGAAGGATCCAAAGTAGTGTCACCTATCAACGGAAGCTATCGTACATTCCCAGTCAAACAATAAACACGAGGAAATATTCGAAGGATCCAAAGTAGTGTCACCTATCAACGGAAGCTATCGTACATTCCCATCATCTGTTCATCCCCAGATGAAACGAAGCAAGTCAATATTCCGTCGAACAACCGGCCCATTGACATTTGCAAAAGTAGAAACTACTTTTTCATTCAGTCTCTCGAACTGGATTATCGCCAAAACGATACTCCACGCGAAGATATCAGCGTCCACTTTGCATCGAGGAACCTCTATCTGTCGCCGATAGTAAACAATCTCCGGCGAATGAAAGAGCGGCGAAAAATAGCTAGGAATTCCGAAAAGAAGGAATCCGCTGTACAGTCGCGCAGCCATGATCCGCTCGTCCCTCGATGATGCTCATCCGAGCTTTGTTCCCGCGAAAAGGGGAAATCCGTAATCCACCGCGCTAATTTCGATTTCGAGCAACGCTGCTGGGCGAATACCGCTGGGAAGCTATTCACGGCTGGAATCTCGGTGAAAATTTCGATCGGCCGATTCCTAGCTTGTTGACGACTCCTGGCCTGATAGAGGGACGAAGACAGAGGGAGTACGAGAGGGAATATTTCGATTTTTCCGTCGTTCCACAACCACGCGTGGAACGTGGTCAGCGTGTGTGCGTTGCATCAGAGTGGGAGAGGTGCGCGACCCATGGGGTTATCATCGGCCTCTCTGTGTACCTATATCAATCCTAGCTTCGTTTCACGTATCACGCTCCGGAGCGTTGCGCAGGAGCCGCGCGACTCTCTCTCTCTCTCTCTCCCTCTCTCTCCCCCTCTTTCTCTCTGTCTCTGTCTCTCTCTCGGATCTCGACGCGCGATAATTTTATGGACGGAGCTACTTTCATGGAAAACTTTATCGTGCACGGTTGCGTCACCAGCTCTCGATCGGGATCCTCTCTCGCGAACCGTGGATCTCTATTTCTATACTTGGCTACTTTCAGCGGGATATCGCTGTACCTCGTTGCGATGCTGAGGTTCGGGAATGGCGAGAGGTTGCCGCGAGCAGTTTATATGGATGTGTTTTGGAAGATACGTGGGTTTATACGGGGATTCGCTGAGTTGTTGGGATCGTAGCGGTGATTTGTGGAATTTCAGGTACTTTTGCTGCAGCATTCCCCGATCCGCGTTTGTTTGTGACTCCCGAGTTTTGGGAATCGCGTGTTTGGATTGGGCAGATGGGGTTCGGAAGGTATGGGACTTGAGCGAAGACTTGCAGAGTTGTGGCACGATACCTTTGACTCGCGAAATGTTATGGGACATGTTACGTGAATTTGCTGTTCAATTTTTGATGCGATTTTGGATATCTCCGTCGGAAATTTTTTAGTTTCGGGAATGGTGAGGTGTTTAAGTTGGGTAGTTATGGCTTATGTTAAGAGTCGTAGAATTGTGGGATGATTGGATTGATTTGTTAAATGTTGTGGGATATGTATGAATCTTTTATTCGATAGTTAATTTTTGGTTGAATATCACTGTTTGTTGGCAAGTTTTTGGTTACAGGAGTGATACAGTGGTTGAATTGGCTTGATATATTTTGGAAAATGTGGAGATTTATGTGAAGAGGGTTGTGGGAATGATAGTAATGGTTTTTAGAATTTTATTTGTCATTTATGAATATATATGTGAATATTTGATGTAATAATTAATTATTTTTAGGAAAATAAAATAGCGTATCAAATTTTTTAATTTCTAGAATGTAAAAGTACTTGAACTAAGTAGAATAATTGGAATTTTATCTGTGAATTCATAGAATGGTCGAAAATAATTTTTGATGAATGATTTTTGATTCAACAGGAAGCTATTCTCAATAGAAATTATTATTATTATTCTCAATAGAAATTAGATGAATGTATCTAGATTTAAAGGATATTCGTGAAAAATTTTTTAAATTTTACTAAACATTTGGAAACCATCGTCCACTATTTTCATAATTAATTAATTTAATCTACTATTTGAATTTTGTATTTCTTATATTTCAAAAAATATTGAAGTTTTCTAATTTTATTCTAAACTGTTTCCAATATTTAATTACAACAAAATGCTGAATTAATGAGATACATAGCATCGTTGAAAAATATTAGAATATGACGTCGTTAATATAGTGTCAATGAATTTATCACAGATCATGATTTCGAATAATTAATACACTGATAAATATTTCGAAATAAATATATAAATATATTCAGCATTTCACACGTTATATTTCTTATCATGAAAAGCTAATTACAGGAAAATTCTTTCCAATTCTACGCAGATATTTGCCAGTTAATTTAGTGGAAGTGTTGCAAAAGTTGTACAATGTCAATGCTGTTGCAATACCATACACGTGGAATCGTGTTAGGATCATATAATAATCACGTGATGGTTTGGCAAGCATTTCTAACGTATGTTGATCTCTTCTATTATCAATATAAATAGAAGACAGTGATGATGGCACTTAATAAGTTTTCGCTTGATAAGTAGGTACGTGGAAACAATCATGAAATAGTATAATCACTGGCACAGTGTATAATGTAATACTGGAATCGAATTTCGCTATTCAGCTTATCACATTGGAATACACAAACAGAAAATACTTTTTACACTAATCAAATTCGCAGTAACCGCGTTATCTATTATGAAAGAAATATAAATTTCCTTTTCTATTTCACGTCGAATATTTATTAATTTCTCCTTTCTCTAAGAGAAAATATTTCACGAATAACGATACGTAAATATACCCGAACGAAAATAGATCTTGTTTCCGTTTTTTAAAATATTTCTCATTTTTATCACATCGAAATAATAAAAGGAAGAAGTTTTATTTTATCGCAAAGATATTTTAAATCAACAGAATGTAAGATAAGCGTTTAGTATTTTCTTATACACGACTATTCTTGGAATAATTAACACTTCGAGTATTTTTTATTATTTATTATCATTTGGAAGGCAATAAGACCTAGCCAGGAAACTATCAAGGACAGTTATGAAACGAAAAATAAAAATTTCCTGCGAGTATTTGCTTTTGATTTGCTTTTAATTATTAGCATGCAACAAACTTGAAAATTAGGCAACACAAAGTGTCTAACTAAAATCTATTGTTATCATTTTGCAATTGAAACTCTACTAATACCCCAGTAATTCCCCTTCAATATTTAGATAACACAAGCTATTCTTAATTTATCAATTTAGAAAATTCGTGAGTCACTGTCAGCAACAAAAATGGGGTCAATAATAAAAAGAACCATAAATGAAGCATATTTGAATGAATTGTAAATACTCAGTCCAAGATGAAACACTCTCGTTAAACCGAATACATATATACAGATTTATATCGCATACTAAAGTACGAAAGAAGATGATACTTCGGATTAATTATTCCTCTCTAATTATTAAAAAGAGAAAAAAAAACACTATATATTACAGCTCATAGTAAAATTGCAAACTATATTTCGAAGCAAGTAACATACATAGGCTGCATCTTTAGCAACCCTCAAGAAATAATCACAGCACTAAAATTTCAACGTTATACAAATATTAGAACACTAGATTTCGCAAATTCTCAAAAATATACACGGAATTAGTGACTAAGGTTTAGGAAAAGACAAAATTATGTAGAAACAGTAAGTAGGAAACATACGGAAAATAGTAATAGTAAAAATAATAAAAATGGTAATAGTAGAAATAATAGGAAAAATAATAGAAAATGATAATAGTATAAATTATAATAAAAATAATAAAAATGGTAATAGTATAAATTATAGGAGAAATAATAAAAATGATAATAGCACAAATTTTAGGAAAAATAATAAAAATGATAATAGTATAAATTATAATAAAAATAATAAAAATGGTAATAGTATAAATTATAGGAAAAATAATAAAAATGATAATAGCACAAAGTTTGGGAAAAATAATAAAAATGATAACAGTAAAAATAATAGGAAAAGTAATAGAAAATGGTAATAGCACAAATTTTGGGAAAAATAATAAAAATAATAACAGTAAAAATAATAGGAAAAATAATGGAAAATGATAATAGTATAAATTATAATAAAAATAATAAAAATGGTAATAGTACAAATTATAGGAAAAATAATAAAAATGGTAATAGTACAAATTATAGGAAAAATAATAAAAATGGTAATAGTACAAATTTTGGGAAAAACAATAAAAATGGTAATAGTACAAATTTTGGGGAAAACAATAAAAATGGCAATAGTAAAAATAACAGGGAAAAGTAATTAAACCAAACTAAAAATGATATAAAAATAGGGAAAAAATATTGAAGAACAAATTAACATTACTAAACAATAAGATAGAAATATCCATTAACAGCGTGATCGTTGTACCATCTTTTTTTCCATGAAATTCGCTACAATCAGCAATACTGGAAAAAAGCTGGAATCCTTAAAAAGCCAGAAAAACTTCATCCGCGAAGGACCACTTTCGGTGGAAATAAAAAATTAGCGCTGAAGAGAATCGCGTGGTGAAGCGCTTAGAACGCGAAGCAGAGGGAGAGAGAAAGAGAGAAAGAGAAGAGAAAAAGAGAAAAAGAGGGCGCAAGGGAGATCGTGCTCTTTTCATTCTAATTTTACTCACCGTTGCGGCCGGAAGAGTTGGCATGGGCTGTGAGACGGGCTCCAGACCGAGTCTCATGCGTTTCGCGTTGTCGCTCTCATTTTCGCAGGCCGTTGCCAAAATCTGCTCGGCCTGCACGGAGGTCAAGTGTGCCGGAGTGGGCCTCGCCTAAAAAGAAATGCCTCGGTCACGTGACACCGTCGCATACCGAAAAGCTCGAACTTGACTCAGACCAACGGAATTCGCGAGCTTTCGCGGCCGACCTTCCGTGGTCCGCGGCGGGAACATTCCTAACAGGACTCGAAATCATCGACGCCACCGACGCTTCGAGGATTCTTTTCCCGGTATTCTCCCGGCATTCCCTGCCGGATATAGCTCGAGAAATTAATTCTACTCGCCAGTGTCCTTTTTCTTTTTGCTCCGACTATTCTAATGCCTTTGCTGCACTATGTCGCTAAGACGAAGATGACAATTTGTTAAATGTTGCACTTACGAGATATAGGTCGACGTAATTATTTCTCCAATAGTTTGGTAATTATCGATCCTTTTGGCAGAGAGGTAAGTTATATATAGGTTTGCGACATTATTCGATTTGATTCCGTCATTGGTGAGGAAAGTTTAATCCTATTTCGAGGCACTGTTAAAATATCTAGTCCAAATTATATCTATATATATTCGTGCAAAGCGTTTGGAACTGTTAAGCATGAAACCCTGTCACATTTTTGTCGAAAGTTTATTCTATGCAGTCTAAATTGAGTTCCAAGTTCAATCCTAATTGGTATATAATTAAGAAGGAATATTTTTCTATTCTTTTAATTAATATCGTATCTATACACTGATGCACTGCTGCCAGATTTACTTACATCACTGAAAGATACATCCTATATGTTAAAAATTAAAATAAATCCAACGAAATGTAATATTAAATCTAACTCGATGTAGGATCACAAAAATTAGAAAAAGAAAAAGAACAGCTGAGTAAAATAATCGAATTCAAATGTCTAATATTATATGAAACATTGTAACCTACATAAATTGAATTTAAAAACGGGTCCCCATAGTCATTCTAAACAAGATCCATACTATCAAGATACTTCTCAATCCCAAATTATAAACAACCACACAGTTCTCTAAAAAACCAAATTTCTCTTTTCTATTATACTCAAAACTAACTATCGTTACAACTATAGAAACTCTTTTCCAAAATCTGCATTTTATAAAGTAAAACCTGATGTCTATAATCGTAGTGAACACTATCCAAAGTATTAGGACACTTCCCAATCCCAAATTCTAAACAACCTGTCAAAACAACCACACTGTCTTCTAGAAAACAGAATTCCTTCCTTGTATCATGCTCAAACCTAACTTTCTTCACAACTATTATTAAAATCCCTTTCCAAAAATTGCTCGTTATAAAACAAAACCGAGTTTCCATAATCATACTAAACACGATTCAAAGTAACAAAACACTTCTCAATCCTAAACCATAAACAACCTCACTGTCCTGCAAGAAAATCGAATTTCTTCCTTATTTCATGCTCAAACCTAACTTTCTTCACAACTATTATTAAAATCCCTTTCCAAAAATTGCTCGTTATAAAACAAAACCGAGTCTCTATAGTCATATTAAACACGATTCAAAGTACCAAAACACTTCTTAATCAAAAACCATAAACAACCTCACTGTCCTGCAAGAAAATCGAATTTCTTCCTTATTTCATGCTCAAAACTAACTTTCTTCACAACTATTATTAAAATCCCTTTCCAAAAATTGCTCGTTATAAAACAAAACCGAGTCTCTATAGTCATATTAAACACGATTCAAAGTACCAAAACACTTCTTAATCAAAAACCATAAACAACCTCACTGTCCTGCAAGAAAATCGAATTTCTTTCTACCAACATGCTCAAAATGAACTCTCACGGCAACTATGAAAAATGCAACATAAGCTTGGACTCACCGCGTCCCAGGGTGCACCCTCCCTGCCGCGTTTGTTCCTCCGACAGCTTTTCAGGTACGTTCTGATCCTCTTCCTGGCCCTCTCAGCGAACTCCGGGAATTGCCTGGTGCAGCTGTCGATGATCGCCTGTATCTTCTCCTTCGGCTGCTTGGAAATCGGCACGATGCGATCCAGGTTCTCGTCGACGAACAGCCTGACGAACATCTGTAAAGACGGTGGACGCGGGCAGACCGCCGCGGAATGAATTAAACGAGCCCGTACACTTAGCCGGCGCAGGAATTAAGGATTCCGCGGTGGTGGGAGGCGTGCACCGCGGCCCTCTATTAAACTAATTGTAATTAATTAAGGAGCAGAGCTGGCAGGCCTGCCGGCCGGCCCGGCTCACGGCCATCTGCGGGCCCCGCTTTGGATTTCAGCTTCCGCGACCACGGGGTGCACGCGGCCAGAAGAGAGCTGCGTGGCGCCGCGACGTTGCCTTCATAAAACTTTACGATAATTGCCGCCTTTTTCGGCCGGCACCGACCTCCGATACAGGCTTAGCTTCCATTCCGTACACCGACTAGCGCGCGCTCTTTCCCCACGGGGCACTGTCTCTCTCTCCTTCTTTCCACGGTAATCCTCTACTTCCCAGCCCTTCAGCCATTGCGAACGCGGCAACAACAACTTCGTATCTTTTTACGCGGTTACACAGCGCCACCGGCTAATGGCGGCCGCAATAAACTCGCCGTTTCCGGTTTAATGCAACCCCAACTACCGCTGCCCCCGCCAGACGGCGCGGCGAGCGCCCGGCTTACGGTTTCAGGTGTTCCTACGGACGTTTAGCGAGGATAATTACGCGAAAACGATCGTCCGACCGTGATGCACCGCACACCCGGAATGGGGCTTCTTTCTCGAACACGGGTTCGTTATGGGGGCTTGGGAAAATGGAGGTTAACGCGCGCCCAGGGCAACCAGCCGAGATGGGACAGTAGTTTCAGCAGAATATTAAATTTCTCCATTTTTCTCCCAGCTGTTCGCTACTCCATTTAACACCATGGTTAATAGCAGGTTCACCATGCTAGGTTCACCGAATGGTTAAATGCAGTGGTTGATGTAACCGATCGTGTTTATCAGTGGTTCACAGGTGAGGATGGCTAAATTTGCTTTTGAATTTTTCGAAGTTTGGCGCCAATGTGAAATACTTTCTGTGTGCTCTTCTTTCTATGTTCAAAATAAATTTCAATTTCTGGTTTATCTATTTGGCAAAAGGAAAGCTTACATATGAATTTCGGAAGAATGGGGAGAGGAAAAATATAAATATTAAAATTTTTAATAAATATCCTGAAATTTAATCTTAATATTTCAGCAATTAAAGTGAAGGTATTAGAGAGCTATTAACTAAAACTTCTAGAACACGATCTACTTGATTCACGATCTTGGAATTTTTATATAAGAAAAATCATAAAGAGTAGAATTTTGAATTAAAAATTTCAAAATAATTTAATAAAATGACTTGTCCCAAATTTTTTTGGGAAAAGCAGCTGCTTTTGCTTTGGAGTGTATGTCAAACGAAAATTGTTAAAATACATTTTAACACAATAAATAGTTCACAAAAGAATTTCAATGATACAGTTGCATGTCTCACTTTGTATACGTATATTTTCAACGTCGGTGCTTCTTCTCTGTTAAGTTCAATATCTTTTAAGTCTGAGCTGATAGCACTATTCAATAATACCTAGTTAATTTTTCAACAACCAAAACGTCACCTAAATTTCACAAAAATCGCGTGTACACGGTGAAAGAGGGGACACAATTCCGATAAATGGAAAAGAGAGAAACCGTTACCACTGCACGATTCAGTTACAAAAACCCGGAATAAACAGAAAGAAAAATTGCACGCGACACCGTGGAGAGGAAGATGAGAGGTATCAAAGATCGTTTACTTCGATGAAACGTTAATCCCATTAGCGGAGCCCGTGGCTGGAAGAATCAGCCAGAGACTAAGCCTTAGACCATTAATTCCGAGATTGACTTTATACCAGCGCAGCTACTACAATTCTCTCTATAAAATCCCAATCACGGTCACTCGCTGTCCCTAACGACCGAAGGAGTCGCTCATCCTTCAGCTGGGGCCAAAATTCATCATTCTCGCGAACGGCCGATCGCAAAAGGAGGAGGAAGAAAAAGAGAAGCTGGGAGCCCACTCTGGACCCCGCCTCGCTTCATTAATCACGTCGCTGCAGCCTCGCGTTTCGCCTCCACCCCGGGACAGGAGAAAAAGAAGAGAGGCGGTCAGAAGGGAATTACGTAAAACGCGGACTCACGTTGAAAGCCTTCTGGCGCTCCGGGTCGTGGTGTCTGGGGTCCAGCCTCTCGTCGGCATCCTCGTCGTCGTCGTCCTCGTCCTCCTTATTGCCGCTGCTGCTGGTCTCGTCGTGAGCGCTGCCGGTCCCCTCTCCGCCCGGGGGGCTGGACTCGCGATCGCGATCGGACCGCGAGGGCGTCGCGGCGGACGCCGGCGGCGGCGTCTTCTTCAGTCCCATGGCGTAGGAAGCCCACAAGGATGCCATGTCCTCGCCGCCGACTCCGGCCACCGCGCCCAAATTAGGAACGGTCCCAGCAGGCATGTCGACCAAGTCCGAGGACCCGTTTCGCGAGTCTGCAGACAAATCGCAAGAAAAAGAATCGTGGTTATCGAGAGAGAATTGAGCACATCTGGGACTGCTATTGGGTGAGTTTTGGCACTGATCTACCGACCTATAATTGCAATGTACGTCACCGATATCAGCGCGGAAACCTAAACACAAAGCCTAAATCACCGTTGTTAAAACTGTCATTACAAATTTCCTGCATAAGGAATTCTGGGTTCTAAGTACTGAGTTGTGAGTTGTGAGTATTGAGTTGTGATGTCACAAATCTGAGATTTGAATTTCCAATTTTAAATCTGAAGTTCTGAGTTCTGAGTTCATAGTCCTGAGATCTGATATCTTTGAGGACATCTTACATATAATTTCCGTATTTATCTGGCAGAAATTAGTAAAAATTGACTATATGTGTTCTAGAAAAATTGAAAGTTATTTATATAACCCTAATTTTGTGATACTGGAGAAAAACGAGCGAGAGAGGATAAAATATAGCAACTAAAGTAATCGTGTGCATATACTTTCATCACTGACACTAATATTAAAGTAAAACCTAAAAAATAGTGTGAAAAATAAAAATCCATAAATGAGCCAGCATATAACGCGAGCTTAATTCTATACCCACCGTATCCTCCTTCGAGGAACGTACTAATTGACCTTAACTATAATTGCACCCGGAATGATAGAGCATAATTGGTCGAAAACACCCGACTGAACTAGGAAGAAAAAAAGGGGAAGCCAAAAACCTTGTAACATAAATCTTCTCATCAGAACAATTCCCGGGGCGTTCACGAATTACGCGAAACGGTGAAACGAAACGTCCAATTCCGCATTTACATGAACGACCGGTCGCGTAGCTCGGCATTAAACCGTGAAGTTTTTATCGCCGCATCTAGAACGGCGTCTGTCAACTTGTTGCGCCTAGCCAGTCCCCGCGAAGACAATTCGAATAACCTCCCGGCTTTCCGCGGAACTTGCTCCCATCTGGCGATCTGCAATTCCCTTCGAACCTCGATCCTCCCGCTTCCCGGGATCCGCCACGCGATAGATCACTGGGCTCGTCGGTAATCACGTGATTGGACAAGTGTTGTTATTACACTGTAGAGGCCTACCAATGAAAGGCAAAACGAATTACGGACTCGGTAGACGAATTCCTTTCTCGTGGAATTCCAAGAGGGCAATCGGTGTTTTAAAGATCAACGAGAAGGATGATAATACTATAACGCAAAATTAACTTTCAGGTTTTGGGTTCGACGGGATCGATAATGCGCGAGAAAGGTAAACGCGTGTAATATCTAACGTAAATATCAAGAGATTAGTTTCTGTTTTGGTTCCTAGGTGGCGCTGGTGCCGTAGATGGCGCTGGGATTATGATCAGAGGCGTCCATATTGTCAGGCATAATTAACTTTCGGGTTCTAAGTTCGGGGCTGATAATACGTGGAACGTGATCGCTAGTAATATTTAATCTAAGTATTACAAGACGAACTTCGATTCGGGGTTACTGGGTTAGACAAATACATAGATGGCGCTGAAGCATTATATAACGACTGATTATAATGCCGACTGAGAATACTCAAACTTTCAGATTTTAAATTCGAATTTTATTTTATAAATTCATTTTAAGTTCCAATACTTATTCCAATCCTAATCTAACGTTTAACCAATATTTATTCCAAGTACTGCATAGTGAACACCTATTTGAAATAGCCTAGTAACGGATTTATCTAAGATTCCCTCTATGCCTAACAGACCTAAAGATAAAGGTATATTTAGATGCAACAACTTAAAATCGTTATTAACTCCACGTCAACTATCAAATTCCTAATTTAAACGTAAAAGTATATCAAAAATATAAGCAGAATTAAACATATTGTACAACCTTAAAGGCACGAGAGGTTCCCGAGAAGGAAGCTAAGGGCAATTCTACTAATTCGCAATTGGTCAACTAGACCGATCCCGTTTTCCTCGAGTTTATCTTGCCTGCTTTAGAATCCCGAAGATACGTATCTGATGACTTTGAGCGTGGAATATAAGCTGTTAGCTGCAGGAAGATTGACGGGGCGTTTCTGTTCAATTGAATTCCTGGGCGCAGAAGAAAAGGACGATCCCCTTTCTTCCCACGGTTAAACTGGGAAATACTTACCAGTTAAATAAACCAACAGACCTAACCAACATGTGGGTGGTATTCATGGTATAAATATAATAACGATGCCACGTTTGAATCGCGTGACGCCACTGATTAAGGACGATCGAAGGAACAGTAAGCCAGCTCGTTCTACTATATGCACGGTGCCTAAGAATGGGCTGTTAACATCATAGCTCTCCCGGTTTATGACGAAGACGTGATAATTCGAGTCGCTATCGCGATCAGGATTGCTATCTATAGTTAGCTGCCAACGTTCGTTGTCGACGACGAAAGATCAGATTATTGAGCAAACTTTTGTGTCTCCTCGAGTAGGCCTGTCAACAGAGCTTTGCTCTGTACAAATTAATTATTCGCGTCGTTCTATATTATTAACTTCGTCTATCAGAGGAAGATTATAGTTGATTAAAGCCTTCTCAACTGGTTCTAGAAGATAGATACGAATAATTGCTATGAACTAGGTGTCTAGAGAAAAATGAAGCAACAAAATGTGCGAATGGAGACATAAATAAGACACACGTGACGCGAGAGTTACAAAAGGTGTCCAATTTGCAAGTACCAACTTTATAGACGATTCGTTCTCGTCATCTATGGCAAATAAATAATCGAAAGAGGCGAAAAAAATATTAAACGTACTTCCACAACGCTCTAAACGTTCCCTTACCCATGAAACACGGTACTATACCATCCTAAATCCCTCAAAAGCAACGTGGGATATGCTGCAAGGCTGGTAATAAAAGAAAAATTTAACACACCATAACCACGAACTAGCACACAAATTAAAGACTTCCATTTATCAATTCCCGTTTTACGGTTCCTCATAAATTCACCACTAAGAGCACACATTCTCCAACGAACCTCTCACTAGCAACCCATAAACCTAAAGTACCGTCCCCACTCCACGCACACGACTACTCTTCTAAAATTCTTCGCCACCCCGGGCTTGGGCCCGGGCCCAGAGTTCGCAGCTCCGCGAGAGTCCGCTCTCCGACTTTGGCCCGACTCGTTCCCGAACATAACCTATACCTGGTTCGATAAGAACTGGGGAAAAGCGCCAACTACGCGTTAACCACGCGACGTGAACGTCGGAACAGGGCTGGAACACGTATCTCCGGTCCCTACGCATTAATTGACAAAATAGACACGAGGTCCTTTAAAACTCGTCCATGGGCATCCACGTTCGGCAGCCACTCAGCTGCAGCGCCGATCACGTGACCGTTTCGCTTATAGTCGCTGCATTTCCTCGTTGAACGGAGTATAACTCTGTCGTCGCGTTAACAGCAGGATGTCTTAACGGTTCCCCTAAGCTAGCCCAAGTTTGACGGGCCGCGATGCCCATTAGAAAGCCGTTTGCCGGCCAAGAGGCTGCTCATCCTTGCCGTTTAACGGCTTCGTATTATTTCGAATGATCGGGTTCCGGCGAGACAAATTGCAGCCCGCGACCCGTGCACGTATAATGAACATCGGAAAGATTGCGCGCGCGCAACGCCGCGTTCCGAATACGGGGCCCCTGTCGCCTCGCCAACCGCTATTTACAGCCTTGACTCGAGGCGTCTCTTAGGAACGTATCCTTTCCGACGCGCAAAAAGGCCGACCTGTTTCCAAAACCCGTAATAAGTCTAAGTAGATCCCTTCCATCGGGTTGCAAGAAAGAGGCAAGCCGCCGCCACCGCCGCTGTCCCGGCAGAGAACGTACGAACCAGCGAAGGTGCTTTCACGAGGATGTTGCCGAGGACAGGTACGAGCCGAGGCGGCGAGAGAGGCTACACGCGCGAACCCGGCCGGCACACAGTGGATCATGGGTAGGGAGCGCCGTAGGGGAATCGTAAAGAGGCTACCTCGGGCTCACGGACTTCTCTGCCTGCTGCTTCGGGTCCTGGATTAGAAGAAATGGACCAGGGACTGGGTGTGGACCTTCTACATTCACGGACTGCTGCGGTTCAGTGGGATTTTTCGGCGTTTGGACGCATGCTGGTTGTGGGCTCAGGTTAGGCTAACCGTTTAGGAGACCGTGTCGAGTTTCAGTCCACGTTGAAGGGTTTCGTGGATCACTGGTGATTCTAGGCAAGGTGTTAGGGAGATGCTGGAGTTCAATAGCGATCTGATCGAAGTGTTACGTTGTATTATTGGTTTGTTCGTTGGAGGTCTGTAGCTAGGCCTCAAGCTGTTTAGAGGTGACAGTAGGCACACGCGTTGTTCTCATAGTGGGATTTTTCTGGATTTGTTACGTAGGTACTTGGTGTCAGGAAGTGGGAAGTTAGAAAGTGGATTCACGATGTTAGGTTAGGCTAGAATTATTAGAGGTTAGGAATTTTGGTAATAATGATGTTTGCTGGTGTTTTACCTGGTTTGGTGTGTCTTCTTGTATCGAACGAACACTTTCTACGGTATATTCCAGTCGAGCGGAAAAGGCAGAGAGAAGCAAGATCGAAGCAAGGAAAGGAGTAACCTTTCGACGAAATAAGAGAGCGCGCAAAAATGTCGAGGAGGAAAATTTATCACACTTTTCCGGGCTGTTTATAAACGGACGGTCTTACTCTCACAAAAATAAACCACCTCTGGAATTGCACATCCGATAACCCTGACTATTAATATCCCCAAAAGACTGCTTGCCGGCGCACGCTTCGATCGGCAGAAAGGCTCTCTCGCGTTTCCCATGCAGCGGCGCGCGACGCGAGCAAAAGTCATCGGACAGGAAGTCCAACCCTCTGGCGCGTTGGGGAAAAGAGGGAAAAAAGAAAGATCCACCACAATGCTTAAACTTACACACCTAGACCAGCGGACGCGGCGCGGAGTGGTCTGACCAGTCGCTCCACAATGAAGCTGCCTGCCACGAGCGTCGAAAACAACAAGATTAATGGCTAAATAATCGC